CCCCAGAGGGGGCCCCGGAGCCGGGCGTCGTCGGGCCCCCCCCCCCCTGGGGCCAGCCGAGGCAAGAAGGAGGAGGAGGAGGAGGAGGAGGAGGAGGAGGAGGAGGAGGAGGAGGAGGAGGAGGAGGAGGGAGGAGGACCCTCGCTCGCCGCCACTCCGAGGGCTACTGGCCGGGGCCGCACGGTGTCCCCGCCTCCCCCCCCCCCGGATCGCCAGCACGAGGCAAGAAGGAGCCCTGCTGGCCACGGCGGGCCTCGGCTCCGAGCGGGTTCCCCGGCCCAGATCTCAGGAGCGTCCCGAACGCCGCAGCCCCTCCTGAGCCCGAGGTGGCTCTTGGTCAGCGTCTTGGCCGAAGGGCTGAATCCACCGCCCCCCTACTTACACGCAGGACGGAAGATGCTCTTCTTGAGGTGCAAATGGTGATGATGAGCTGGAAGTGAATGACCGAACCCCCTTCCCCCGTAGAATCTTACCTCGGGCGGGTTTGGGGTTCCGCGGATCAGATTTCTTCAGATTCCCCGTTTTTAGTTTAATGCTATAAATTTAGAACGGGGTAAAATTCGGATCCGCCGTAAAACAAATTACCGAACACGGATCCAGCAAATCCGAAATCGGATCCGCGCGGACGGAAATCGGATCCACCGAAACAAACACCAACGCCATACTTGGATCCGAGCGAACTTCATGGGATCCGACGGCGGCTATCTCACACACATCTGCTCAAGACTTCAAGCCGTCGTTTCGGGCCCAGCAAGATGAAAAAACTTTCGTCCTGGGGATGTAGGTCCAGGAAGATCGGACTCCCGGGCGGTGGGGGGGGGGAGGGGGGATGGGGGGGATGGGGCCGTTCACGTCACGATTCGCGCTGGCGCCGTCTGGGAATGCCTGAGAATGGCCCATTCCCAGACGGTGCTGGCGCAAACTGCGGAGGAGTGGGAGCCCAGACACCCGGCTGCTCCAATTTTCTTCGATGCGTGGGCCCTGGAGGTCCGGACCACTTCCCCGGGACGGGATCTTCGTCCCGAGTCGTTCGTCGACGCTCCCGAGGCCCGGCGACGGCCCCCAGGAGGCCCCAGATTGCAGAAAGCTCGTCGCCCCAATTCTGCTGGAACGTCGGATCCCTGGGAGCGGGGCCAGGCACCGGCAATACGGCCATCGTGCTGCCACAATAGGGGGCAAACAAACCTACCTCGCTTTTGACCACCCTCGCTTCCAAGCGATACCAAGCGATGCCAAACCACGGCCTGTACTGGTCAGGCCGCTTGACGAGGAGGCGCGTGGTGTGGCTTGGTTTTGCCTGGAAGCGAAAGCGGGGTAGGTAATTCTTGGAGGCCTGTAAATGGGCACCAACACCAAAACAGGGGGTTGCCTCCACAGGGGGAAGATGATCCTGGATTTCGGTGTTGGTGGTACTATTTCGGTCACCTTGGAAGCCAGAATATTACCACCATCACCGAGATTGGGGTCTTCATCCCTCGGTGGAGGCACACCGCCGATCTTGGTGTTGGTGTCACCCTCTGGGCGTGCGAAATTCACGCTCTGAAATGCGGCCCTCGTGCTGCCACGAGGCAGGCCCTACTGGCAGCGAGCGGAGGGAGAGGGGGGAGCGCTCGGCCGGCCACGGCGGGCCGAGGCCGCAGAGACACGTCCTGCGGGCCGCAGAGATCTCTCGGGGGGCGGCAGGAGAGGGGGGGGGGGGGCGTCCAAGAAAGGGGTACGCCAAAGGGGGGCGGCAAAGAGGGGGGCAGCAAAGAGGGGGGCGGCAAAGAGGGGGGCGGCAAAGAGGCGGACACATCTTTGGACGCCCGAAATGGGCACGGAAAGAATGGGCACAGTGCCCAGCAACAAGCGTTGTCCCAAACCAACAGCGGCCGCTGTTGGGCAGGCGGCCTTCTGCCTCGAATGGGCACGGGCCGTGGCGGCGCGGACAGCGAGTCCTGTCCAAAATGAACAGGAACTGCTGTTGGGCATCGTACCCATTCTTTCCGTACCCATTTCGGACGTCCAGACAAGAGGGGGGAGTGCAGATCATGGCCAGCGGCATGTGCGCGGCCCAGCGGGGGGGGGCAGGGACGTGTTGAAATAAGACGAGGCGCGATGAGATCTGGGGAGATATCGTGGCCCCCGCCATGATATCCCCCCCCCCCAGTCATCACCCCCCTCTTTGCCGCCCCCGAATCTCGGGAGCTTCACGAAAAACTGGGGCCCTCGTGAGCCCAAAGCGGCCCTTTTTGCGGTGCGCACAAGGGGGTGGGGGGAGGGGGGAGGGCTTCTTAGAAGGAGGCTGCTTCTTAGAAGGCGCTGGCCTTGCATCTACAGATACGGCCCGCGCCTTCTGAGAAGCAGGGGTGCTTCTGAGAAGCCCACACTGCTCCCCCCATCCCCCTCTGCGCGTGGCTGATTGACTGTATCGCGAATACGGTGAGGGCATTGGAGAAGGATACGGCATTCCAGGGTCTGGAAGCCGGTGGAACTCCAACGGAGGCTTGGCCACGGACATCGTGGCCGCCCTGATCAGAGAAGGGATGCCGAAGGGAAGGAGAAGACCTTCTTAGAAGGTTCGGAGGTCCCCAAGCTCTCTGACAAGCTTGCAAAGGGTCCCCCGAAGACGCCGGAATCTTCCCAGGAGGCGCGAGGGCTTCTGAGAAGTCCCGCCGCCCTCTGATGCGGGACGGGAAAATGACCACAGCCACTGCTTCTTGTCTGCGCCGCCTTCCAGCCGGCCGAAAAAGAAGCAGTGGCTGTGGTCATTTCCGTGGTGCCAAGCTCAAGGAAAATGACCGCAGCCACTGCTTCGTTTCTGCGTGGTGGAAGGCGGCAACAAGAGAAAAGCAGTGGCCGTGGTCGTTCTCACGCCCCGTATCTGAGGAGGCCTTCTCCTTCTCTCGCTTCCCCCCCCCTCTCGGGAGCGGCCAAGAGGGGGTGTCCAAAGAGGGGGGGGTGCAAATCATGACCGGCGGCACGTGCGCGGCCCAGCGGGGGGGCCAGGGACGTAATGAAATAAGAAGAGGCGCCATGAGATCTGGGGAAATGTCATGGCCCACGCCATGAGATCCACCCCCCCCCAGTCATCACCCCCCTCTTTTCCGCCCCCGACCCTCGCTCGCCGCCGATCCGCCGACGCCCCCCAGGGTAATCACTGCCAGAGAGGCGCGCGCGGACGGCGCCCCGCCTCGGAGCAGCGGGCCCCCTCCGCTTTTCCCGCGCGGGGCCGGCGGGAGGTCTGCGGCCCGCCCGCCCGCGGGGCGGAGCCCTGCGAGCGCCCGAGCGCCGAGGCGTTTGCTGGAGGTGCCGCTGGCCCGCGGTGCCCCCCAGGATTTCCAGTGCTAGGGGGCCACGTGCGAACCCTGCCCCTGCCCCCCACGATTTCCGAGGGGAGGGTGGGGTTCACTCCACTCGGGAGCTCCCCAGCGGAGTGGACCCCACCCTCCCCCTCAGTCATCGTGGGGGGGGCAGGGGCAGGGTTCGCATGTGACCCCCTAAGTGAGACCGTGGAGGCCCCCACGGCCTCCACAGAGCACCCCTTCACGAGGCCCAGAGGGCCCCAGGAGCCCCAAAATTTGGGCGCCCGAGTTATCCGGGGTAACTCGGGTCCGGGGTAACTCGGGCTTGGATTCGCGAAAAAGGAACCCGAGTTAGCCCTGACCCGAGTTAGCCCTGACCCGAGTTACCCCTGATGATGTGGGGCTCTGGACGCCCGAATTATCCGGGGTAACTCGGGTCCGGGGTAACTCGGGTTCGGAATCCCGAAAAAGGAACCCGAGTTAGCCCTGACCCGGGGCTCTGACAAAATTGAACAAAAAGCTGGGGGCACCTTGGGCCAGGGGCACCTTTGGCAACCCCCGATGGAGGAGGAGGCGCGGCCCGCCCTCCGAAAGCGCGCGGCCTGCTCGCGATACCGCGAGGGTCCGCGGAGGTTGGCTCGCGACGCCGCAGGCGCGCGGCCTCACGAGCGGCGGTCGCTCGGCTACAGTCGGGGCGTTGATCTAAGGAACCCTAAATAAGGACGAGGCCCCTTTTTTTCCATAAGTTCAACCTCGATTTCCCATCGAGAACATAGGAAAACCTGAGGCAAGCTGCGAAACACTTCAGGAACGCGGAGCCCCTCCCCAACGAAAAGGGTTCCTTCTTCAGGGCCCCGACTGTACACGCAAGAGCGGCCCCAGGCAAGAGGGGCCTCCATCGGCGGCGAGCGAGAGGGGGGGGGGAGTGAGCAGCAGAAGGCCTTTCTCAGAGGGCGGCGGGACTTCTCAGAAGCCCTCGCGCCTTCTGAGAAAAGTTGCCCGTGTCTTCGGGGGAAGTCTCTGCAGTCTTCTCGGGAGGCTGGGGGACTTCCGAGCCTTCTGAACAGGCCCGCCCCTTCTCACTTTCCCCCCTCGCTCGCCGCCAACCCTAGGCACGAACAACCTGCAGTGCGCGGATCAAGGGGGCGCAAAGTGGCCAAAGCCAAGCCGGCAAGCAACCACCATCGCATCGCGCTAAGCCGCTAAGCGGGGGGGGGGGGCAAGGAACCCGCACCAAAGGTCACTCCGGCGAAGGGCCGCTCTTGCATGCAACGAACAGAAAATATCGGCCTCCGCGCCCTCGCGGTCTGGACTCCGGGGCGCGACCCCGCGGACACGCGGTCGGAAGGATGCGTTCCGCTCGGGGCATGAGCGCGTTTCTTTATTTTCGGCCATCATGGGCATCATGGGGGGTGGGAGTAGTAGTAGTAGTAGTAGTAGTAGTAGTAGTAGTAGTAGTAGTAGTAGTAGTAGTAGTAGTAGTAGTAGTAGTAGTAGTAGTAGTAGTATAGTAGTAGTAGTAGTAGTAGTAGTAGCAGTGATGGTAGTGATCGCCATCATGGGCATCATGGGGGGGGGGTAATGTAACGCCTCCCCCCCGCCGTGCTCCCAATGCGCACGGCGGCAGTGCCCGGAGCGCACTGGGGGGGGGGGGCGTTACGTTATAGGGGGGGGAGGGTGGGCCGGGGGCTATAGTGCCCATAATGCCCCAAGCAATAAAAAACCACGCTCTATCCGCGGAACAAAATATCCGCGGGGTCGCCGCCCAGGGGCCTGGCCTGCGAGGCCGTGGGTACGGATGTATACTTCGCACGCGCGGGGTCGGCAAGACACGCCATCGACCCAAGACACGTGCGCACAGCGAGGCAGCCCGAGCAGGCCCGCCGCGAGGACTGGGTCACCCTGCGGCGGGCGAGCCCGCACGCAGAACCTTTTCCCAGACATGCTCGCGTCGACCGAAAAACGAAGCGAGCGGTTTCTCGTTCGTCGTTGTCGGCCTCCGCCGGGCCGAGGGACCGTAACAAAAACGGCTCGGGTTAAGTCGGGCCTGTCCCTCTGCAGGGGGAATATTCAAAAATAGTCGAAAGATAATGTTGGGGACGATTTTTATTCCAATAGCAGTTTTGATGATTGTTGAACATGTTGCTGGTTTTGAAACTGTTCGCCCATAATCCCCCTGTAGGGGGGCATGCCCGACCTAAGGCTCGGGACAAAAAGCTTGCCCTGTGGAAGAGGTCGGGACTCCTGGGGGCCCCGTGTTGGACAAATCAAGACACCGCACGTCTGGGTCGGCGGTGCGACCACCGCTGCCGACAGCGCCCGGGCCTAGGTCAGACCAGGCGGGCGAGGCCGTGGCCTCGAGCATCTGACTTGTCTGTAATATGCCATGCGAGAAACTTGAAAAAGTAGGAGGGGAGCAGCAAGAAGAAGAGGAAGTCCGTGGTGCCGGTGTCGGCGCGGGCTGGGCGCGTCGTCTCGGCTGTCTTCTGGGCGGTCACTTCATGGGTCTTGGTGCTGGGTGTCTGCTGGTGTGAGGTCGGTGTAGTGATGCTCGAGCGCCGCCCACGTATCGGTATCTTGGGCTGTTTGCATCCATGTGATATCGTTTGGTTCTCCTCTCGGTTGGGTGCGTGTGGATGGTCGGCGGAGGTTCGGCCCGCATTGGCTTAAGAGGGCGCTGATATCGTCGTCCCAGCGCTTACGTTGGCCACTGTGCTGCCTCTGTCCCTGCTGGCACAGATTGAGGTCTGGTTGCCAGCGTAGCACTCGCAAGGTCCAGCTTGTTCGGTCGTGGTTTGCGACTAGTGAAGCCATGCGCCAAACTTTTCGCTTGAGCTCCGTGACCCAGGTGTCAATGCCGTGAAGCTTCATAAGGTGCTCTGCTCGTCGCTGTGCTTTCTGAACGCATTCGGCCCACATTTCTTTCAACGGGTCTGCAATTGTGCTGTCTTCGCGGCTCTCGCATGTTGGGCGTGATCGCTGTTTCGCGCTGAAGTGGGTTGCAGTCTGGGTCGTCGCTAGTGCTGCTGGTGCTGTGGTCGTTGTCCGGTGTCTCTTTGCTTGTGCTGACGAAAGCAGTGGGTATCAGGCTGCTGCTAAGGTCTGTTTGCTGTGTAGCGCGTCGCCGCGGCGTTCTGATGATCATATCTGTGCTGGCCAAAGGGCACAAAGGCACCGATGGTACCAAAGCCTCCCAGCTCTGCAAGCGTCGTTGGCTGGTATTGTGGGCACGCGTCAAAGGAAGGATGCAGAGGGGTGGGAGAGTCAGGATGCAATCCCTTCGAAGTCTCCGAATCGAGCCGATGATTGAGCTCAAGCGGTATTGAGCCAACTTAGGCGGGACGAGGCCGGAGTAGGAGGGCTTTCGACCTCGAGTGTGCCACCGCCGATGCTGAACTTGACCTCTCAGGGGTTGCAACCGAAAAGGACTTTTCCCCAGGCTTCCTTCATGTGAATGTCCAGGCACTATCACAAGGTGGAGTGGAATGGAAAACATCACAAGGTGACATCCATCATTTAACCTGCAGCACGAGCCCCCTGCTGTGCGCGGGCTGGCGCCTTGGGCCAGACCCCACGACGGATCCGACGAAGCTCTTTCCTCCTAGTGGCCGAGGGCTGGAACAAACAAGGCTGAGGCGAAGCCAGGACGAGGATAAATCCGGGTGAGGATAAATCATGTATCTCTGAGAGCCGGCGGCTCTGGAGGATGTCTCAAGCGACGCGCGGCCTTCTCAGAGCGTTCCGGAACGCGAACGCTCTGAGAGCGTTCCAGAACGCGGAGTATCCTCGCCCTCGCCCCGTCCGACAGGCGCCTTCAAGTATTTCAGGGAGAAGCTCGCTGCTGGATAGCCCACGACCGGAGCGTAAAACGACGCGAAGATCGGGACAAACTCGGATCGGGATAACTCGAAATCTCTGAGAATCGGCGGGTTTGGAGGATGCATTGGGCGCCGCGGCCGCTCCAGAGCATCCCGGAACGCTCTGAGAGCGCTCCAGAACGCTCTGGAGCGATTTATCCCGATGCTAGCCCTGTTTTAAGCCCACGACCGGAGAGGCGGAGACGGAGAAGGGAGGGACGGCGGCAGCGGGGGCCGCAGGAAGAGGGCAACAGAGGGCGGGCTCGATCCTGACTGCGGCGTGTACCGGCTGGTGCAGTCCGCCACTGCTGCGCTGCGGCGAGGCAGTCATGGACAAAATAAGGCAGATCATCCACAAGCAAAACTACCTAGTCCCACCAGCATGCGGGCTGGGCGGAGGGGGAGGAGGACGAGGAGGGGGCCTGCCTGGTGGCGGGGTCCAAACTAGCTGCAGGCAACCGCATGAGCAGAAACTTGCGGAACCCCAAACCGACTTCTCGGATCGGCGCTGGACCCCCCTCCCTGGCGCGCGGAGGCCGCCAGGGGAGGGGCCGCCAGGGGGGTCCAGCGCGGATCCAAGAAATCCGCGAGGACCTCCGACAGTTTGTGTTTATGCAGTTGTGTGTGTTCCTCTTCTGCACTCGCGGCAACGCGAAAGAAAGACGAGAAGCGAGGACCATTAGTGGGGAATCTGTGGACCATTAGTGGGACGAGAAACAAAGCGGAGCATTCCATCAGCAACTGCGAGGGAAAGCCCTCCCTGAGATCTCTGTACCGAGGCGGGCCTCCAGGGGATTCTTAAGCCTCGAGCGCCGGCGTCACAATCCATGTCGGGGAGGCGCAGACCCGTGGCTGTCCTGAGAGATCTCGAGGGGCAACGTTATGGGAGAACTAGCTAGGGGGGGGGGACATCGAGCTTGAATCGGCGGTACTGAAATTTGATCAAGAACGCGATAATTGAAGACATCGGGGCCATCTTCCCGTCCATTTCTGAAGACAAAAACTGGGCCGATGTCTGTTGTTGACGCTGGAAGGGCGAACGCGCTCAAGAAGCTGGGCCAGCTGTCCGGCAAGTTGGCTGAGAAGCGATGGCCCAGCTTCTCGAGAGGAGGCTTCCTTCTGAGTCAAAGGCTCGACCGCGCATCGCCAGTAGATGTAGGTCGGGCGTGTCCCCCTACAGGCGGATTCCCGGCGAAGAACACATGGCCACAAGATACATCAGAAAAAAATCAAACATGGTCAACAAATCGTCCCCAGACCATTTTTGTCTGACTATTTGTGGATATCCCTCCTGTAGAAGGAGAGGCCCGACTTACAACGGTAGATCGGCTCCGCGGGCCCCAGACAACGAGAGAGCCCGCACGCTCCAGGGCCGGGTGGGCCAGCCGGCCCCGATATCGGCGCGGGGGCGGGCGGAGCGAGGGGGCCCGCGCGGCCCCCCGTGAGCCGTCCTCCCGTGAGCCCATGCCCCCCGAGGTCTGTGGCCCCAGGTCGGGAGCCGAGCTCTATACAGGGCAGTTTTAAGACATGGGACCTGTTTTTTTAAGCATCGGATGTTTCATACATGGGTATTTTACGAATGCATTCATGCATGAGTGCATGGTTGTGTTTACCTGCATTTTTGATTCATGATCCGCACGCGGAGCATGTACAAAAAACGGCACTGTACACCGACGCTTCTTCCAGCCCTGCACTGAAACTTGCGCAGGAGAGCGGGTCCTGGTGTATACGGGATCCTGGTGTACACATTCTTCGCTGTGTCCCAGGGAAGACGGGGACACAAAGTATACACCACACCGCCCCGACGTCGTCCCCGACCCTGAAAAAAGTCCTGGGATTGAAAAACCGCCCGCCACTGGTAATGTATACGTCCCACTTCCCGACCAGGCATCGGGCGCCTCGGTTTTTTCTCGATGCATCAGCCGCCAGACCTGTTCGGCGGCGAGCACAGGGGGGGGCAGGGGGAGGGGCGGAGGCCTCATAGATGGAGGCCGCTTCTCAGGAGGCGCCGGCCCCGACATCTATGTAGACAAGGCCCTCGCCTTCCGAGAAGCAGGGGTGCTTCTGAAAGGCCTCCCCCGCCTGCCCGTCTCTGCGCGCGGCTAACCTCTCGACCCCTTCCCTTGTGCGGAGTTCTCATCCCGAGTTTTGAGCGAGGACCGACCGTCCCGGCATTCCTTTAGGCCTACCACGAAGTGTTCTTAGAACCCGGAAAAGTTCCAAGAACAAAACAATGTTCTTATATCACAAGCGACAGCCCCAGCCATACATGTTCTAGGAACATGTTGTGCAGACCACAGAAAGGTTCTTAGGATATTCTCTGGTGGGCCTGTAGGCGAGCCAGGACGCTTCGCCACTGCTTGAGAAATGTTCTCTGTCGGCCCCCGGGGACCGACGCCTGCCTCCAAAGGCACCACATGCCGACAAACCGGCCGCCTCGCTGTTTGCCGGGGCGCCGGGTGTCCGGGAGAGCCGGCGATCCCAGACCTCCGATGCCGCTCTCGTCTCACGGCGTGGCTCCTCGGGGGCCCTGACCCCGTCCTGGGGACCCGCTCTGCACCCTGAGTCGCTCCGAAGCCGTCCTAGCACCCCGCAGGAGCCCCAGGAGCCGAACCTCGCGCATCATCTTGCCTCGAGCGGTCCCCACCCGAGAAAGGCGAGGCGAGATACCGGGAGCACCAGGCCCCTTGGCGCCTCGCGGCCGCGGCATGCAGGCGTCGGTCGTCGAAGACGCGCGGCGGGACACCCGGGGAGCGCCAACACGCGTCGGGGCCTCGCGGCCGCAGTGCGCAGGGTGTGCGATGCGGGTCGGGGTCTGCCTCCGTAGAGTCTGACAGCGCCAGCCTGCCCGGTGGGGAGAGACCTCCCGTCGTGATGGATCTCGACGCGAAGAGGTCCAGGTCCCCGGTCCCAGACCCCCGACGTCAGGTTTTCATTACTTCCACCCCTAGAAAATATCGACCGACTCCCTGGGACCGGCTCTTCATCCTGGGTGATTTTTGTCCCGCTTTACACCGCCATATTTGGGCCACTGGGGCCCCGGGGAAGCCCAGGACAGGGGCGCCCGGCCGGGAGGAACGCGAAGCGTGAGGAGTGGACAAAACTACTACTGCCACGGCTGTGGCACGGTCCCGGGGCCCTGCCAGGGCCCCTCGAGGACGAGCACGTGGACAAAAACTCTCCCTCGCGGCTTTCCAGCGACGCGAGGGGGTCGGGCTCGGAGGGCGAGGTGGGGGCCCCGCTTCGTGGGGCCACTTTCTTGAAGGAGTGGGCCCCCCAGAGCACTCCCGGGCCCGCCAAGACGATCCCTGAACGTAACGTCCGAACACCTCGTCAGGCTTTGATCCTGGAGCCCCGATCTCCAGGAGGAGGTGGTGACTGGCAGGAGGATGAGGATGAGGATGAGCATGAGGATGAGGATGATGCTATGATGATGATGAGAGGAGGGAGGAGGAAGGAGGAGGGGAGGAGGAGAGGGAGAGGAGGAGGAAGAGAGGAGGGTGAGGAGGAGGAGGGGAACGAGGAGGAGAGGAGGGGGGGGATGGAAGGGAGGAGGATGAGGAGGAGGAGGAGGAGGAGTAGGAGGGGAGGAGTAGGAGGAGGAGGAAGGAGGAGAGGAGGAGGAGGAGAAGGAGGAGGAGGGGAAGGACGAGGGGGAGGAGGAGAAGGAGGAGGAGGAGGAGGAGGAGGAGGAGAACGAGCAGGAGGAGGAGGAGGAGGCGGAGGAGGAGGAGGAGGAATGGTGGACCTCCTTGGCACTGCCTCCACTTGGTGCACGCGCAGGGCAAAAAGGTGCCCCCCTAGGCGCTGCTCACGGACTCGCCGCACGAGCCGCCGGCGACGTCCTCCAGCTGCTGCAGCGCCTGCCGCGGGCGGCGGAGGAGCGGCGCGGTGGGCGGATGGGAGCAGGACCAGGGGATCACCACGAGGTTTATTCTCTTGCACAGCTGTGTTCTAGAGCTCGGACCTCTTCATTTTCGTTCGTCGTCGTCGCTCGTTCGTTCGTCGTTCGTCTCTCCCCCCCTGGCCACAGAAGGAAACTCCTGGAGGTAGGAGGCGAACGCCTCCTGTCCCTCGCAGCTCCTTGGTGCAAGAGCCAGGGCACGCGTGCCACTTGTTTAGGTCGGGCACGTCCCCCTACAGGCGGATCTTGGGCGAAAAAGGAAACATACCCCAAAGTGACTCAGTCAATATCTAAAACTTATCAGGAAATCGTCCCCAGACGATTGTTGTTTGGCTATGTTTGAGCATTCCGCCTGTAGAGGGACGGGCCCGATTTCACACTGGGCGGTGATGGTTGGCCCGAGGGGCGGCTCGAAAAAACTAGAGCACCTCATCCTCGGATCGCTGGTGACTTCTTGCCCGAGCCCTCCCGGGCAGTGCGCTCCGCGAGGGATCTGACCCTGGGGAGGTCCTCCACGCCGATGCCCAAAGGAAGCCGGCACCGAGGCCCTCGAGGCCGAGCCAAGGGTCCCATCGGCTTCCCCGGGAGGCTCTGGGCCCACGCCTGCGGCTTCGGGGCGGGTCGTCGGGCCCCCACAGACCTCGGGGGGGGCCGAGAGGGGGGCGTCCAAGAGGGGGGGCCGCAAGTCATGGCCAAAGGCACATGCGCGGACCCGTGGGGTGCCGGGCACGTGTTGAAATAAGAGGCGCCGTGAAATTTGGGAGAGATCATGGCCACCTCTATGATATCCACCCCCCCTATAGTCATCACACCCTCCTGGCCGCCCCCGAGAAACCCGCAGAGACCCACAGAACCACCCCAGACGTCCAACAAAAACACCTCTTTGGGCTTCGGTCCTGGAGCCTCGATCCTCAGCGAGGGCTGGCGCCCCTGAAGCGGCGACCCCCCTCGGCGCTGCCCGACAAGCGCAAGGAGAGCGGGCGTCGCACACGGGGGAATGGCGCGAGGGGAGAGGGCGGCCTTTCAAGAAAGCCGGGGCACTTCCACAAAGGCACCCCAGACATGCCCGCGTACTGAAGAAATCACGGGGTCAATATGTTCGGTTGTTTTGAATCTCTGGGAGCCTTCGACTGACCCCAGAGCTGCCAAATTGCGCAAACAAGCACCCTGATAGCAGCAACGGTGAAGAGGCGGGTCGAGTATCAGGAGGTCGGCCAATTAAAACGTGCATTCCTATGCGTCCTATGGTTGCACTGGGCAACCTGTTGGAGCGTCTCTTGGACATGCCGAATCTCGTTGGCAAGGAAACATGCTCGCAATTCGCTGAAATGGATAAGAAACAAAACAAAACAGCTTGGTTCAATACGAGTTCAATGCAACTTCCAAGTCGACAAAATTTGACCCCCCGCGCAGCGTGCCCGTATCTCCCGCACGTCAGC